CATGTGTGTTCTCAGAACCCAGGTTAAGAAATCAGTAGTACCTCAAAGGCTTGTACATACTTCCTCATAACAAGGCTGAGCACAGATATTAACAAAATTGTCCCCTTGTATGTGTAGTTTTATGACCTATAATAGTTTCAAAATATGTTACTCAGTATTTTCAACCTTTATATAAATGGAATTTTACTGTCTATTTTTATTTGCTATTTTTCCTAGGGTTTTTTTTTTAATTCACTCACATGAAAGCATATGGCTACAGTTTGCACAAAGTGAGCTATACTATGATAGACTGATATTGATAAGGACATAAATGTTCTTTATCTCACACTAAAAACATGTTCTCCTTTTCCCTGTTTACCAAAAGACTTTTATCATGAAATTTCTTTCTGATATGTTTGTGTGGATAGATAGATACATAGATAGATAGATAGATAGATAGATACATAGATAGATAGATACATAGATAGATAGATAGATAGATAGATAGATAGATAGATGGATAGATAGATAGATAGATAATTTGTTCATCTAGAGAACTGTATTACTTTGTAGCAGTAAACCAACAGCAGATGCCGAAGATAAAATCATGTTGGTCATTTTATACATTATTCAATGCTGTTAACTATAATTTTGTTCAGGATGTTTGTCTGTGGTGAGATTAGTCTATTTTTCCTTTTTTTGAGGTGTTCCACTCAGATTTTAGTATCAAAGATATATTGCTGTATAAATGAGTTTGAAAACCTTCCCTCTTACCTGTGCAATGGTTAGTTTCTGTCAATTTGACATAATCTAGAGTCTTAACTGAGAAATTGTCTGGACAAGGTTGGCCTGTAGGCGAGGTGGTGGGGATTGCTGTGATTCTTAATTGATGTGGGAAAACCACCCCACTCTGGGCAACACCACTCCCTTGGCCCAGGATCCTGACATATGTAACAGAGAGGTCTATGCTGCTTCAGACTGTTCATTTTCCATCTAAGGACCTCATCACATTTAGTCAACCTGTCTCCTCATCTCAGTTGTTCCTTATTTTGATGACTTTGACAGCTTTGAAGAGAACTGGTCATGTGTCTTACAAAGCTTTTATATTGTTGTTTTTTTTTTTTTTAATTACTATTTGGGTTTTTGCTTGGAGGAAGAATAGACTGAGTGTACTGGCTTATTTTTATGTCAATTTGTTACAAGCTAGAGTCATCGGAGGAGGAAACCTCAATTGAGAAATGCCTCCGTAAGATCAGGCTATAATTCATGATTGATGGTGGTGGTCCTGGATTCTATAAGAAAGCAGGGTAGACAAGCCAGTAAGCAGCACTCCTCCATGGCCTCTGCATCAGCTCCTGCCTCCAGGTTCCTGCACTGTTTGAGTTCCTGCCCTGACTTCCTTCCATGATGAACAGATATGGAAGTGTAAATCAAATAAACCATTTCCTTCCCAATTTGCCTTTAGTTGTGTTGTCTCATCACAGCAATAGGAGACCTAACCAGGACACTGACTGACAGTCTCATCCTATCAGATTACATTATATCATCAACATGACCTGACACTGTAGAGTCAGCTTTGCTTACTTGGTGATAACGTTTTACCCTTGTGTAATCTACTATAATTTTTGGTTTTTAAGGATTTATTTTTTTACTTTAAGTTATGTCTCTATGTGTGCACAAGTTCAGGTACACATGGAGGCCAGCATCAGATCTCCTGGAGCTGGAGTTACAGACTGTTGTGAGCTACCTGGTCTGGACGCTAGAAACGGAACTTGGGTCCTCTGGAAAAGCAGTACATGCTTTTCACAGCCAACCCATCTCTCCAGCTTCTGTAATTTTTATTTTAATCTAATATCACAATATTATGATGCAATGTAGTAGACAAAAATCCAGAGACCTAGATTCTGGGCCCATTTTATACTAAATAGCTAGTGAGCTTTGGGAAGTCATCCTCTGATCCTTAGGGATTTTGTTTGGTTCTACTCTGAACATATATTTTTTAAGTACTGTGCACATGTGTATCACTGCTTCTGAGTATCCTGTAAACAGTATGTAGTTTCCAGGTTGTAAGATTTTTGTGGTTTTTGGTTTTTTTGAGACAGGGTTTCTCTGTGTAGGCGTGACTGCACAGGAACTCACTCTGTAGACCAGGCTGGCCTCAAACCCACAAACTCTGCCTACCTGTGCCTCCAAGAGTGCTAGGATTAAAGGCATGTGCCACCACCGCTCGGCTCAGGTTGTGAGTTTTGGCGTTCTCAAGGTACACCCAATACACCAACTGGCTGATCTGTAAGACATTCTGGAAATGGTGCTGTGTACCCTCTGGATGTTTTCATGAAGGGAACTGCGGCTTCCATGTTATGTCATTCATGAAGAAACACCATCCTGTGTGGACATTACAGTAGCTTTCAGAAAAAGTACATGAAGTGAGCAAGCGAGTATCTCTGCCAGTACCCATTACTGACATGACTGGCTGAGTACACCACCTTGAAACAGATCCCAGGCAAGAATCTCACAAACACATCCTCACACATCCAATGAGAGACTCTGATCTGATCCACCTTCAGTTCCAGATCCCGGAAACTCTGTGAAATAAAACCTTATATATGTTTGTTAGAAACAACAAAAGGGGGCTTTGAAACTGTTCTAGGTCCCTCCTGGGTAGGAGCCTATGGGAAAGGATGCTGCTGGCTCCACGCCCAGGATCCTCCCTGAGCCTTTATCTGTAGTTTATATATTGAAGGCCAGGCAGAATTTCTTTTCAGAATAAAGTGTGCTGCCAAAAGCAAAACTGAAAACACCGGTCTACGGAAACACCAGATTAGATGTTCTCTATAATCTTTACTATCTCTTGCATCCTATGATTGTACTTAACTATTTCCATGAAACAAGCCTTATTTAAAAAAACAAAACATGGGCAGCATTTTCTTCAGCTGCCCACACATTCCTTGTACCATTAAATAAAACCCTTGAGATGGAAAATAAAGTTTATCAGGGTCTGTCCCTTTCTGTGGTTGAGTGTTGGTAGAGCTCAGACCATGGGTGCTGTCTCTACAGAACCTTTCCTGAGCACAGCTACACCCCTCGGTATCACCTTTGAACTGGAAAGGAGATGTGGGTTTGCTTCTGGCATGTTTGGTTATATATGAATATCAGGAATAATGGCCATTTCATTAACTTTTTTGTGTGTCTATGTGCATGTACACATACACACACTTGTGGATGCCATGGTGTGCATGTGGAAGTCAGCTCTTTCCTTCCATCATGTATGGTCATGAAGCTGCTATGACCACACATGATGAGCTCCCTGGCCTGGCTGCCATGTCTGAACAGCCTGTGCAGGATGCTTCAGATTAATATTCATGATGTCATTTAATCCTTATAACCACATAAAGTAAGCATTTTATAGACTGAGGAGCTGAAGGCAGATTAAATAATTTCCAAGTTAGAACAAATGAATTGTAGTTCAAAGAATGTAATTAGAGAACCATTGGCCTTGAAGAATAGGGGCTGGCAAAGTGAAAAAGCTCCTCCTGGCACTTGAAATATACTGGGGGTTCAGCTCCTCTTTCATTTACTGACAGTGATAAGAAGAAAACTCTGCCTCATGATAGTCCCTAGGTTTTCCAGTGTCTTAACTACCTGCAGAGTTGGAAGTGGGCACTAGTCAGCTAATAATCTGCAACGAAACACTTGCAGTTAGAAGACGGGACGTACCTACTCCAGCAAGAGGACCTGGACCATCGATGCTAGAAGCAGGGCTCAGACCAGAGGCCACCCAGTAGCCTGTGTAGGTGGAATTCCTGGTCCCAGTTGTTGAAGTTCAGAACCTTGTTCCTCCTGAGGAGAAACCTAGCAATCACTGCAGCCCAACTCATCTTCAGCAGTGTCATAAATAGCTGTACCATGTAAGGCAGTCACCAGACATCAGATGGGCCTGTAACAGACTGTAACATCCTACTAAGCCAGGATCAGAGCTACTGGCTTTATGAAGCTCAGGTCATATTGTGCATCCTGTTCAGAGGACCAGGCTTGACCCCCCTACCCCCACCCCAAGTCACCAGTCCCAGGAACTAGGCCATAGGTCACTAATTCCAGGAATTAAATAAAATTCCCTACCCAAGGAAGAGCCTGCAGGTAACCATAAGAATGGGAAGGCCTCTTATCTCAGGGTGGGGCATCTGTGTTGGGCAGCCCATTGACTTTGTAGAACATTCATGGCACAGAAATATCAAACATTCCTGAGGTCTATAGATAGCTCGCTCAATGTTAGTGAATCACTTTGTAATAAGCTTGCCCTTGCTGAATGTCACCCAATCTTGTAACTGCTAAGCTGGAATTTCCCAAACCTTGCTGTAACCCTAAATACGCCTCCCCCCCCACCCCCAAACTCAGGTCTCTACACTAGAGAACCACTGCGTTGATGATGGTGTGGGCCTGAGCTCAAGCTTATAGTAAAGACCCTACTGAGTCTGCATCAGAATTGGCTCCTTGGTGGTCTTTGGGGTCCTCAAGACTTGGGCATTACACTGTCTCTCTCCTGCCTTCTGCCATTTGAATCCTGGATAAGGAAAGACCATAAGGGCCCCAACCCTATTTCTGTAACCTCAGAGTGTTCACCATATCCAGCTGATGTCAGCTATTTATGTCTTTCTTCCTTCTCTCTGAATGATGGGCACCACAAGCCTGTTTTCCTCAAGTAGAGCTGCCTTTGACTTTGGCCTTCCAAGTAAAATGTGACATCCAGGGGCTTTATGCCCTAGCAGAAAAGCCCTGGATGCAATGACAATCACCCAGAAAATGTGTAAACATATAAAATCTCTAGGTTTAACAAAAGATTGCGCAGTGTCCAGCGGCAAGGTCCAGACACCCTAACATGTTTAAGCTCAACATGTGACCAGGATGCAACCCACCGCCCTAACACTAGGTGGTAAAGTACCAGGGACTCAGGGAGGGCAGGCTGGGAGTGGGGCATAAGGACTCTGCTTCACAGAACAAGAACAAAATGCAACACCACCAAATTCACAAAAGCAGTTTTTATTTGAGGCAAAGAGAAGTCTGACCCAAAGGCTTATAGTTCTAAGCACTCAGAACTTACTGTTAGTGGCACTACTCAGACTATAAATCTTGTTCTCTTTGGCTGGAAAGGGCGTTAACCATCCTCCAGGTGGGGAGGAAAGACCAAGAAAGGCTGGAAGAAATACCTCAGCTCCTGACACTGCTCTCCAAAACCTATACCAAGCCAACAAACTCTTGGGTGTGATCCGCAAGGTGTCACCCAGTGCAGAGGGACACAGGACACTAGCAAGGACACATGAGGCGGGAAGAACAGGTGCAAGCTGCTTGGGGAAGAGCAGGAATTCGCAGCTTCAGACTTCTGCATGGAAGGGGTAATCCTTGTGTTTGGCACAGCTGTCAGGAAAGAACACATGTACTTTACAAGTTAAAGCCTTTCAAAATTAATTGGTTCACTTTTGTATTCACTGTGTGTACATGTGTGGATGTGCACACTACAATGCTCATGTTGGGGGCAAAGGATAACTTGTATGCGCTGGTATCTCCTCCTAGCATGTGGGTTCTGGGGATAGAACTCCGTTCATCAGGGTTGGTGCCAAATGCCTTAACACATTGAGCCGTCTTGCCAGCAACCAAGGAAAAGATTTTCACTGTAATAAGACACTAACACGCAGAAATGACGTCTCATCACAAGCTGAGTCTAAGAAGCAACAGGACAGTCTTAGAGTCTGATGGTCACATGTGTACAGCTGCTCAGCCTCTAGGCTCCCCTTGTCTAGTGATGTCAGGACCTGGCAAGTACATGACAGGCCACACCCAGCAGGAGGCCTGAAGCACACAGTGCAGCAAGGCCTGATTCCTACCTTCTAGTGACTCAGATTAGCTGGCAGGACTGTATAGCATCATGTCATCTTTTCTGTTGTTTGTTTTTGTGTGTGTGTGTGTGTTGTTTTTTTTTTTTTTTTTTTAGGAAAAGGCCTGGTGGTAAACAGTAGCCAGGTTGGCCTCAAACACATTACTGAGCTGAGGATGACCTTGAACTAAAGATCTTTCTGCTTCCAATTCCCAAGTGCTGGGATTGCAGGCATGTGACACCACACCCAGCTCATTTTATGACCCTGAACACAGTATGAAAAGAACAGATAAGAGTAAGCAACAGAAAGGTTTACAAGCTGTCCAACACTGAATGCCAAAACAGTGCAAGCCAAGTAAAGTAGCAGCCATTCCCAGGAGAGGAGAGGGCACTCCTCTGTTATCTGGAGGGAAATGAGCACCAAACAGCAGCTGGACTTTTACTGCAGGAACCAAGGAAGGACTGGCATAAAGCCAAGGCTCAGTCTATTTCGTAGGACCAATGGCTTGTAATGGGAACAAAATGGCAAGAGCCCTGGGAAAACTGGACAGGCAGGGTGTCAGAGCCTGCATACACATGTGCGTGCACATGCCCACATACATGCATGCATCACATGAAAAAATTAAAACTTAAAAATCCTGGATGGAGGAGAGAGAGCCAGTGGGGAAATAAAATTTAACAGAGGCTATTATGTTACTCCTCAGAAGATGCTCATTTTTGTCATGACTGAAGTTGTCCTTCCCTTCCAGAACTTATAAGCAAAAGAGCACTGTTCACTATTTCTTTCCAAACCCCTAAAGCAGCTCTACTGTGATAAAAGGATGATGAGGGTGAGCCAGGCCTGGAGCACGGAACTCACTGAACACTCACTCAAGCTCTCTCTCCCCTGAGCTGCCTTTGTCTGCATCCTGGAGTCAGATGCCAGCTCAGTGTACCAGTGTGTGTCAATGGGAAGGCTAGCATGTGGACAGTTAGAAAAAGATTCCTGGGAGCACTAGAGCTGGCTTTTCCCACCCACCCCAACCCACACCCACTCAGTATTGCTAGTACCCAACTGTTTCTAGAATAGGTGCAGAGGCGGCAAGCAGATATGAAGGGGTCGCTTAGAAAGCACATGGTTTGCCTGCCCCAAAAGCTTAATGTGGACAGCGGTGGAAGGGAAATGCAAGGCTGAGGGACTACTACAGGGTCTAAGAACTGAGTGGGTGCCAGAGGCAGGTGATTCTCTTCTCTCCTGCCCATGAGATCCAATGTAAAAAAAAAAAAAAAGATTCTCATATTAAAAGGTTAAGTGTTCTTAGTAAAATATTAGAAAGGGCCCTGTTTGGGACTCCTGTCTACAGCCTACTTAGAACCTGAGGGCCCTGTGATAGTGACATGCGAACAGGCAATCACAGCCTGAATTATAGATGTTACTGCCTAAGGCACACTGATGATAGAGGTTGCAGCCACCATGTAGACCCTGAGCTGTGCAGAAGGCAAGAGAGTGAGAATCAAGGCTAGGAAGAAAAAGCAAGCATTGGGAACACAGGTTGCTTCTTAAAGCAAACACATTCCCAAGGACTTGGAGTCCAAACCCTATTTCAGGGAAAGGCAAGAAACCAGCCAAGACAAAGCTGAAGAGGCCATTGCTGACTGAGTGGCATTCTAGAGTCACGGGGCCTTTTGGTGTCAGAGCTGGGGCAATCTGAGCCCAGTACCAGGATCTTCCTACTAAACTCCTTATTAGGGTCATTAAGTCAAGTAAGTCACATGCAAATTCTTCTAGAAAAATGAATAGCAGATGAGCCCCTTGGGTCATTTGACTTCCAAAGAGCAACTAAAATTTCAAAGTTGGGCCAACAGTTCTCCCAGGCAGAAGGGACAAAGACCTGTCCTTGGCAGCTATCCTCCCCCTGGCTTTGTGCAGTGCTTCTCTTGCTCTACATGAATTAGAAGATAAGGTCTGTATGAAAGCAGAGTGGGCTGCAAGCGGTCGAGGACCAGCCTGGAGATGCCTCTTACTCTACAATATTTGGTGACAAAGAACAGGTGCCATGCTGGACTCACTCACCTCATCAAGGCACACACCCTCCAGTTCCTGTTGTAGCTGAGTAGAGTGGTCACATCCTCATTGCTCAGCTCAAAATCAAAGACCTTACACAAACAAGAGAAAAAGAAAAAAGCCAATAAGCTCTGCAATGAAAATAGGCAGCACTAGGAGACTCCAGATGGCTCCCACTGCCCGGTGTGCAGAGCGCAAGGGAGTGAATGGAACTTCAAGAAGACTTTAAATTCCTCTCCAAAAAATGCCCAGACTTTTGACCATTTATGAAATGGCCTTTCCCTTCCAGAATCCCCAAGCACAGAAGAATCATGAATGAATCAGGAATGAATCTGTTGGGTCATTCTTGTCACACTCCTAAGGAGTTCCACTGCGATAAACACCTGACTGCTTCCACTCACTGTGGAGCATAGGAAGGAGATGCTTCAACAGCTGGAACACTCATTAATCCGTGACCCCCTGTGTGAGATGGAACAAAGCCTCTTGGCTGTCTAGAGGCACCAGCATGCATTTCAGTGGCACACTGAAAGATAATGCCTTGTTGCGCAGCGCTTGAAATGTTCTAAGAAAATACCTAAGGTTTTGACATACACAGCAGAAAAGGCAGACTGGGATAACAGCATCATTTCCATGAAGACAAAAGAATTAATACAGGAATATGTAACAGGCCCTCAGGCCTTAGCACACCGACTCCATGATGGAAGTACCATTCAGGTCATAACACCCAGCAGGCTGATAGCAGCACCAGCCATAATGAAGACTTAATTCATCTGTTAACTTTCAAACCCAGAACAAGCACCTGAGGTGCTGATTTAACATATCAAAGCAGACCTAGCCTCCAGGTTCTCCCAGCATCCTTCCCTCCCTACCTGTTACAGGGTAAGGCTGGCATACCCCAACCTCTATCCTGAACTTTTGAGCCCAGTGGCCCCCAGAGGCTCTTCCCTATATAATCTAGACATTTTAGTGACCTACTTTCTTTTTTGCTCCTTTCGTACCTTTGGCCTCGGGGCTGCTGTATCTGGTTCCTCTCTCCCTTCCCCCCTCCCTTTCTTCCCACATGGCTCAGGGTCCTGACCACTCTGGACTCTCCCAGATGTGTCTTCCTCTGGCTGTGCTCTCTACACATCTATAACAAACGTTCTCCTCTACCACACCTAGGAGTAGTCATGGCCTTTCCCCTCCTGGTCACTTTTTTTTTTTTCATTTACATCAAAGCCCACTGTTGTGGGAAAGTCTCTAAATGTACTAACCTTGCCTTTTGGCTCTATAGTTCTGCTTCTGGTTAAGTGTGCCACCCAAGATGTGGTTTGTGCATAATACCTCACCCTGAGGAAGCCTCGGGACTACACTGGGATTCCCGAACACCCAGTGTGGCCACTGGCTGTCTTCACTGGTCAACACCCCACCACAGAATACAGGAAAGAATTTAGGGTGCGTGGGGGCAGTAGACAATTCCGCCAGATGGCCTTCAGCAGCACTGGGGCTTGGAAATAGATGCATACTCAGACAACCCATTCTACGAGGCTCCTGATCACAAAATGTGCAGGCCAAGACTCTGCTATACACTCTTGTGATCACAGGCATGAAAAATAAGCACAGAATGCATAGTAAGATGAAAACCAGAAACAAAAACCACTAGGTTAGTATTTTGACATTTGTCATTGAAAGATCTTCCTTCCTTTCCTTCATTTTTTCTTCATTTGTTTTCTTTTTTGAGACAAGGTTTCACTGTGTAGCTTTGGCTGCTCTAGAACTTGCTTTGTAAACCAAGGCTGGTTTCAACAGAGATTGCCTGCCTCTGCCACCTAGGTGCGCCACCAACTGCCTGTCTTCATTTTCTTTTCTAAAGTGAAATATGAGGTGAGTGATTAGCCCATTTCTACAGTACAGGCCTTTCTTTCCACTTCTTTACCCAGTAAGTGGCATGGTCATGGTCACTAGGGTGAGGTAGGATTAGCTGCTTGCTACGTCATCAGAACCACCCTAAACATGACCTACTGCCTGTTGTGGACTATGCGGGGCTGACTTTGAACCTCTTCAGCAAAGCCTTCCTTTACTTAGAGAGAGCAGAGGCTCCTGGGGACCATCCTGGAACAGCTCTTCTCCCAGCCGGCCCTCTCACCAGGTAGCCCGAGCTTCTCCTGGGGACACTCTGAATGCCCACTCCTGATGTGCAGACATTCCCAAGCCCTGTTCATGACTGCTTAGGCACTTCACAGGGAGTATGTGTTCTGGAAGGCCTGAGCAGTCCACGGGCTCAGCACCAGCAAAGTTTCCTGAGAACTTCTGATGGAATCAGGCACTATCAAGTGCTGCCTGCATCATAAACTTCAGCTTCACAAGAGCCCTTAACATAGGTACAGGTATTATATTATTTGAGTGCAGTCACACAGCTGGGGTAGAAAAAGGAGCCTGAGAACTCCCACCTCCAACGTGTCACCAAGGAAAGCCAGGCCTCCCAGTTGGAATCTTACCTTAAAGTTCTCAGCAATGCGTGCTGGTGTCACAGACTTGGGGATCACCACCAGGTTCCTTTGTATAGGTAATCGGATCAGCACCTGTGGACCCAGAGGTGATGAGTGTGTACACACGCTGTGTTATCATCTCACAGTCTACAACTGCACAAGTAAAGAGGTTCAGAGAGGTCGAGTAATGTCCACCAGTTGATCCAAATCTGACTCTAGGGTCCTGCTCTGTCGGGGGCTCCAGGCACCTTACAAGGCCACAGTCAGTCACTACCTGGGACCCACACTACCCCCAGAAGGTAACATCTCCCATACCACAGATGCTGAGACCTCTATTTGTACAAGGATGGGCTTCCAAGAACAACCAGCAAATGCCACATGAATGTCTGTGCTGCAAGGACAGGCACTATTATGTGAGACCACATGGCAACTAATTGTCTAAATCCCACATCTGTGCCCTTAATATTGCATTCTAAGATTCCAAACCACACTTCCACAGAGGGCGTCAAGGGCTCACCTCCCTCTGCTCCTGACCAACAGGGACCACCAGATGTGTAGAGCTTAGGACACAGTCACGAGTACCTGAGAGTGGCCATACCTGGGCTGGAGTTTTATTGTACTTGGCTGCAATTGCCTTGATCCTGGGATCCTCCAGGATAGAAGGGTCTTCAGGCTTGGCCCTGGAGCAGAGAGATGGTAAGATCAACAGTCTTTACTACCACCACTCTAGGCACCTGGCTACCCTAGCCCTGACCCACACACTGACTTCTGAGTGGTTGGCCAGGCTGCTGGACGGAAGCTGGGTCATGATCCACCTGTTGTCCCTTTGCAAATGAATGTTCATTTTGCTCCTAGAAACAACCTCCCAAAAAGCCCAGAGGTTCCAGACAAGGTCTGCATGGCAGCACAGAAGCATTTCCTGTGATGTTCAACCATTTCCTTTAGTCATTTCTAATCGCCAACAGTGACCCCCCAAGAAGCTCACCAGGGCCTGTCAGGAGAACCAAGGGGACTGTATGCAGTCACCACGATGCCTTTGGAATGGCAGTACTCAATCAACTTCTCCTGAGTTAGGTACGGGTGACACTCAATCTGCAACACAAGCAAGAGGGTTGACTGTGGGAGTAGACAATGTGCCTTTTCTCCCCACACAGAAATGGCTGCCTGCCAGATAAGCTGTAACAACTCTCTCCATTTCCCAGATGGTAGCCTTCACATTAAGAACAGTAATTTTGTTACCAGTGCTCCAGGGCCATAAGCCTGTAAGGCATTCCTGTGGGCTTGGCCGTTTATCCACAGATAAAAGCCTGTAGCTCTCACTAGCTGCCCACCGCTCATGTGAAGCCACAGCTTTGCTGGCTAGCCCCAAATTCGATCCCTCAAAGCTTCCACTCCTGGCTGTGTCTGTCATAATCAACACTGGCCTCTCCCTGGGCAATGTGGACCACAGGTTAAGAGTCAGGACTAGATGATGAAACAGTATGCCAACTTCCTCCCTGGCGGAGGCTCACCTGGTTAACTGCAGGCTTGTACTTTAAGCCAGGTTTGTTTAGGATCCTTTCAATCTGAAGAGGGTTAAAGTTGGAGACACCAATTGCTTTCACCAAACCTTCATCCACTAGTTGTTCCATGGCCTAAAAAGAAAAGAGAGGTCTATCTGGGTGCTAAAATGAACCCTAAAAGAACAAGGACTAGAAGCATGTTTGTGTTTAACAGCCATGCCCTCCCCCCATCCATGGCCAGCACCTTATACCTTTCAGAGGCCGAGAGAAAGACCAGAAAGCTGGACTGGCTTTCTTGAGACTTAACAGATAAGCATGCAGACAGAACAGCCTATGCACAGGAAGAGGTGGCAAAGCCGGCTGCTCACATCTGCCTCACAGGCGATTAACATGACACCAGAATAAATAAGGGTCTCAGCAGGGTCATCTCACCGTCCAAGTGTCCACAAAATCCGTGTCACTAGGAATCACATTCCCTGATGCATCCAGTGGGAAGTAGTCACTCCCAGGCTGTCATAAACAATGAACACACAGAAAATGATCAGTGATGTTCTTCACAGACCTACTTTCATCTCACAGCATTACAAACACTGTGGAAGATGGTAAAAAGCCAGGATGAAAAGGAAAACAGAAAGTGACCCTGAGGGGGTCCTTGTCATGACTGGAGCTGAGAGGCTGGCTGTCCAAGTCCCTGATACCAATCCTGCCATGGAGAAGAGTGTGTGGACAGAGAAGATGCTCAAGCCTGGGAAACTCGGGGCCCACATCTCAGCAGCTCTCAGGCCTATAAAGCTATCACTTTGCCCATCTCTTGCTGACTTTGTCATAAAAAAACAAAATGTGGAAATCAAATCCCTCAGGCCCCAAGAGACTACAGTGAGTTAAACAGAGCTGTAGAATAAAACCCAGGACCTTTCAATCTGGGTAACCATGCAGAAAAAAACAAGCCATGAGCTAGAGGTAGAAAATGTAGTGATTCTGAGTTCTGCAGCACAAAGAACCAGGTTGTGAACATGTATTTACACAAATGAGAAGGGCATGCAATGGAGGGGCAAACTCATGTATATATGAGCACTGCATGCATACACCCGGAGGAGGAAAGGCAGTGGGGGCTGGCTGCACCGACAGCCATGTGCAGCAGGGAACACAGTCACCATGTTAGCCATAGTTATCGCCGGCTTTAAATTCTAGAAGACTGAGGGGAAAAGGCTGCATCTGAGGGTGTAGGAGAGGCACAAGGCTGGCTTCTATGCTGATGCTGGTCCAAGGCCCAAACCCCACGCAGCGGAGACAAGGCGAGTTAACACCCATAATGTACTCACAAGGAAGATGAAGACAGTACCTGAACCACAGGGATTCAGTCCCTCACCTTGAAGCCTGTTGGCCAGTGAATAAGGTAGAGGTCCAGGTAGTCCAACTGCAGGTCGCTGAGTGTCTTCTGGCAGGCTCCTTTCACCATGCTCTTGTCGTGGAACGTGCACCACAGCTGGAGCCAGCAAAGGCACATGTTATCCCTGCCATGCAAATGCCTCTTCCCAGCTGGGAGCCACACAGCTCCAAGCGGAGGTGGATCTCCCCATAACCATGATGCTAGGAGTGGCTGGAGACTTTCCAGTTCATACTGTGGATCCCAACTTCCCAAAGGCAAGTAGGACGGTCAGGTCAATGGCACCTCACAGAGACCAAACAAGGCATAACAATAAACAGGGAAGTGCTAAGCACAGGCTCAGGTCTACCTCTCTGCCAAGCCAGGTCATGTGGAGCCAGCCTCTCCCTCCAACCTATACTCCTTTGTGCATCCACAGCCTTTAGCTAAAAGTACGGGCCATGAGCAAAACCCATTTTGTAAAGGGAACTAAATTCTGTCCCTAAAGTCACTCCTCACAAAGGGGGACTTAACCCCCAACCAGTCTCAGCAGCACAGCTCTAACCTACAGGTCCAACAGAGAGATACACAGATGGACACGCAGCAGGTGCTACACCTACCCTGAGCTACCTGCCATCATGTGAAGTGTGGACCTGACTGGCAGCTGGGGCCCAGTGGCTAGGAATGAACTGGAGCCCAGGATCCTCACAGATCGATACCTTGCTGACAACGAAGAGCTCCTGGCGCTTCACCACATGCTCCTTGAGCTTCTCCTGGAGTGCCACTCCCACCTCCTTCTCATTCTGGTACACCTGGGCACAGTCAATGTGGCGGTACCCAATGTCAATAGCAACCTTCACAGCCTCAGTCACCTGGCCAGGAGGGGACTGAAAAGGAAGGAATATAAGTCATTAGATTAAAAATAAAACAGGGAAGAGTTTGCACAAAACCAAAGAAGAACAGTGGGATCCATGGTCCTGGGTCAGCGTCCTGTCCTGAGGCTGGGCCAAGGCAGGGCAGCATGCATTTGTGGTTCCATTTCAGTCAGCCCCCAGAAAGGGCAACCAAGGTGAACGGTGCGTAACTTCACCTTAGCAGAGCCTGACCGCCACTTGCCAACAGCACAGACTACTCAAAGCCTGGGTATGATCCCAGCATTCTGGAGGCAGAGGCATGAAAGTTGAGGCCAGTCTGGGCTACACAATGAAGCCTTGTCTCAAAAAAAAAAAAAAAAAAAAAAAAAAGCCCACTAGATTTCATTCAAATAGTTCAGGATATTTATCATACAACAAGGGCTCAACCGATGCTGACCCGGTCTAGTAGATGGCCCCTCAGAGGTATCAGCAGACAGGAGTGGGAAGGGAAGATGGAAGAGTACCACCCGAGTTCCACAACAAACCTAAGAAGCCTGGCCACTGAGGAGAAGGAAGACCCTGCGTGGCCCTGAGCTTCACCAGCCCCCAGCTGCATGGCACTGTGCCCCATCTCCTGGCTGCTCCTGTCTAGATTGGAGATTGTCTAGATTGAACAAGACACTGCACTGGGCACTGCTGGACCAACACAGCACATTCCTTTGGAGAGCTGGGGCAGAAGCAAATGAAAAGAAAACTCCCCAGGGCCACCAGCAGCTGCCAACATCTGTTTTGTCTGGAGCCTTGTGAACAAAAGTCTAGGGAAAACCATGAAACACCAGACAAGTCCATCACCCGCGCAGCTGGCCAGGGATGCTTGCTCCGCACCCAGCAGGGAGAAACCTGCCAGGCAGAGGAGCCATGCCATTGTTAGGTGCCACTAGGCCTTTAGACTGCCAGACAATCTTTCATTTCCCTCTGGGACCTAAGAGTGCACCTGTGGCATGCCCCACTTCTCTGGCTGAAGGACTCTCTCGGGCGATGCAGGAGTGGGCTCTCCTACCATGGGCTCTCTGGGGCACCCAGACACAGCCGTGGCTGATACTAGCTGTGAGGGAAAAGCACATCCCTGCCTGAGAAAGACAACACAAGAGGAGCCTGCTAAGTTGGGGTTCTTCTGCCTCATGGCACACAAGGAACTTTTGCCAGGATACAGGACACTTTCATTGACTCTCCTCTTAGAAGCACTCTCTGCCTTCCTTGTAGTAGCCCTGCTTAGGGCTTGGCAGCACCTGGCTTTGTACAGAGTTCTGGGCACAAGGTCCAGGCTGGGCAAAGCCAAACACCTGCTACAGCTACTCATGCATAAGCAGGAACAGGCTGAGGCTCCATCTCAGGCCCTGCACTGACCTAAGGAGCTCTCCTCAGCTGGAGTCCTCTGCTTGGAGAACGAGGGCTTGCAAGCCCTTGAGAGAATGGGGCCAAGATCGACTGGATCCTAGTGACCTAACTTATAACCCAAATGGAATCCCAAGCGTGGACCTAGTGACTGTCATGGGCATAGCCAATGAGCCCCACCCTAATACAACTTTTCTGCTTGTTTTCTCCTTAAGGTTAACTTTCCTTTTCTGTTCCTCAGAGCTAGGGTGCAGACTACACTAAGCAAAGCTGCAGGACAGCTGACGAGTAAACTAAAATCCACAGAAAAATCTGTGTTATGTTTTCATGGGAAGACAAAGACAGATAAAGGCTGGAAGTGCAAGAGGTCAAGGACAAAGAGCTGGTGCTTCCGGGGGCTCCCTTCCCCACACAGGCTGAAATCTGCCACATTCACAAGTCTCTGACAAAAACCCACAGAATGATTGCAATGTGCCGCCTTTCATGCCCTACCCAGGCACCACAAAGAGCACTTTCCTTTGCTGGATGGTACATAAGTTCATCTTACAGCTCTGTAACCTGAACACTAATTCCAAGGGCTAAAGACGGAACCCTTAAGAATGACCCTTCCCCCATCCTTATCACACCAAAAGCCTATACCCTACTTTAGCAACAACACTAATAAATCCTGTTCTACTGTAACCAATCAATAAACCTGTCCTGATTTTCAGACGTATCTCCACTCCATAGAGATGTGGATCCAGGACCGGCCCTCCATAGGCAAGATTTATTTGACTATTTTTGATCTTGAAGATGGAAAGGTTGAGGGGTATCGTCTGGTCACGAGCAGGCAACCAGCAAACCAAACTCCTACTTCAATGGCCACAGCACTTCTCCCAGACACCAGGATCTTGGGCAAGTTCTACCCTAAAGAGGCAAAAAATGGACTTGAAAAGCAAACAAAGATAACCTGTCACAGCTTACGAATGGCATGTGACCCTACGAAAGGCTACAAGGCCTGTGCACGTATATAGTAGTTTTACCTGAGATATCAAAATCTTATTGGGGTACAATTAGGCCAAAAGAGACTCATGGTTGCAAGGCACAGAAGACATTAACTGGAAGACAACTGAGAACACAGCTGTCCCTCATTCCTAGCAGCATTCCTAGCCTACGTGTGGAAGAAACAACCGTCATGTCCTTACAAAGATTTTCAACTAGAACAAAACATTATCAGTACTAGGATGCCGGTCTGTGTCAAAGGTTAGCTTTACCTGAAAGGCCTGCTGAGCATTCGACACTATGAGTGTACTTAGGACAAGTGGGCAGGCAAGCCAGCCAGAAAGAAATTCCATGTGGGTAAGAGTGTGTACCATCTGCCTTAAGTTCTCGCCTCTGAGGAGAAAAGGGAGTTGAAGGCCCTCAAGGGAAGAGTGTAAGGCCAGGCATTACTTTCGAAACTTCCACTGGAGTGACTTGTGCCTGTGTGTGCTGGGCCCTGTAGCTATGTTTACTACATACAGCAGGGAAACTATCTTTCCATGTGGGGAGTTCATGGTTGTAATTCACACCTTTCTAGGCACCAGGGAACCTCTGGAAGGAAACACAAGCTGCACATGCTAATCTGCTGGCCTAGAAAGATGTTCAGAAAAGACAAGTCTATGTATGACCTGTTTCTCATTCATCATACATTACCCATGTTAACTACAGTTTGGGTAGAAACAGACTCTGTCCTGTTTCAAACCATTTGAACTCAACCCTGCCTGTTCTTCTCTTCCTTCAGAGTCGAAGCGCTTACTCTCCAGGTTCATCCACACTCAAGGTTAAGATCCAGGTCATGGCAGTGGGGTGTAACAGACCTACAACTTCCCTAAAAGCATCGCAGGAACTGAGATTTTCTACTTCAGCAATACCACCAAAACTGATTCCTCAGCTGCCAGATAATCAAATAAGTTATCGCTTTAGCTTTTAGTTATCGGTTCTTTCTTTCTGTAGCTCACTCAGATGTATCAGGCCCTCTTCTCAACCCTGCTGTGTTGTGTTGAGGTTTCGGGGTGTCCCGCCTGAAGCCTTCAATCAGTCGGTGGCATCCAGCAAAGCGGAAGCCAGATTAATTTTCGAGGCGTCAGCACCCATTAAGAGCTGCACACAGTGCCTTAGGGGACAGAGAAACAGGCGGGTTCCTGGCAAACTCTCGCCTCCTAATTTAATTATCTCAGGCCCATTGGCCCAGCTGGCTCATTACCGAGAGGGCAACACCATCAGGGCCAGGTGAGGACAACCCACGCGTGAGGCTGGGGCGCCACAGGTGCCCGACGACACAGCTGCGCCTCGACTTCCGTTCCGTCTCCACCTGGCGTGCCCACGAGGACTCTCACGCTGCTCACTCGGGGCCCAACACACGGGGCCGCGGCCCGGATGCACGCAGGCCCCGCCCCGCGAGCCCCGCTCAGCGCAGGCCGCTTAGGATCCCCCAGCGTGGGGCGGGTCGCGCTCCTCAGCGCACCTACCTTCCAGGTGCCCAGGCCCAGGGTGGGCATCTTGGCGCCATTGTTGAGTTCCAGATGGGTAGCCATGAGCGCAGCAAGTTACACACGCAGACCGGCAACTGTGCGGTGCCGGCTCCGGCGCGCACCTTTAAATAGCCCCAACGGCCTGCAGAAAGGAGGCCGGCGATTGGCGCGCGCCTGAGGGACGGCGCCTCCTGATTGGCCGCTGCCGCGGTCCTTAAGGGGTCGGCGGGGATGCTTCTCTCGCTAGGTCCTAGCGGCACGGAATGCTCCAGCTGCTGTCCTTCGCCCCACGTGGCAGAGTGTGTGCCAGCTGTTGTCACGCCAGAACGGGAAGGCTCTGAAAATAACCCGCAGACTAGATAAAGGAGATGGGAAGAAGCTTTGGTTTCATTTTAGAGCCCAGAAGAAGACGTTTGTGTCTCTTTTCAATCTCAGGACGACACTCTTCTGGAATCCTACACGTCTTTTTTTTTTTTTTTAATCTGACGAAGCAGATAGGTTTCAGATCTCAAGAGCGCTTTTTTTTTCTTAGATTAAAATGTTTGTAACCGGTTTTTGCAGAGTACTACGAAATTTACCCTACCCGTTTGTAGTATTTTCTGCCACTACCGGTGGCTATGCATGGCCGATTTGGTTCAAAAAGCCTTGATATCAAAATTAGCAATCGTTAGGTAATGAACCCCTCCTAAACTTGATCCAGAACACACAAATGATTTTGGAAAGCAAGTCTGTTGAACTGGCAGTCTCCAGTATAGCAGATTGGCCAAACTCTGGAAGAAAATTGAACAGGCAGAATTCCACAGAAGGAAAAGTCCACTCTCACATTGCAATGATTCCAAATTAGGAGGCACTAGATAAATTAATCAGTTGTATTAGGTAGAAAGCAGACCTTTCCTAAGATTATTCAAGTTGCCCCAAGAACCCTGGAGGCAGTGTTGGTACTCTTCCAACACCCCTCTGAGTGATGCTCCATTCATCCCAGCCTCATTCTGCTGGGTCATGCTCCAGTCGCCCCCTGGCTATACAACACACACAGCTGCATCTGCCGAGGAATGAGTCAGGAACCCCACCTCTCTAAGTCCCATTCTGGTGATTTTCCAGTCGGAGCCTTCTGAAAAAGTGGCATTCCTCCACCCCCATCCCTGGGAAAATTTATATTTAAAAAAAAAAAAAAAGATACTTTCCACTTGAATTTTATTTAAAATTGGCGTGTGGAAATTCTGGTGTAATTTTTCTCTGCATAATAGAATGTGACATGAGCCCAGTGCTGGGAACTTGGTTTGTGTAAGGTAGCAGATGATATGGCTCACCACTTGTTCTCTCTGAAATCCTCTTGGCATAGAGATGTCTCTGCCATTTGAATCTCCTGGAAGCAAACACAAGGAGCTGATGTCTTGTGAAGCAATGCGAGTGCTCTGTGTGGCAGCCCACATCTCTTTACTCAGGATTCAAAATTGAAGGCAAAAGGAGACATTTTAGTCTGCCTGGTTGTTTAATGAGATCCTGTCTCAAAAGATAAAGGGGACAATACCACCACCAACAAAGTGAGTGTCTAGTGACAGACAGGTGGTACACTAAGAAGGGTCATCACCAGTTAGGAAAAGGCATTATGTAGCAAAAGCTTTTTGGTTGCAAAGAAAACTAAATATAACGTTTGATTGTCTAAAATTCAGTATTTTGCCTGGGCTGTTTAAATGTGGAAAGACACACGTGTGGAATTCTCCTAGCAATCCTAGTGCTAAAGTTGAGACACGCCATTACTATAGCCTCCTGGTAACTCCTGTTGCCTCCATAATCTTTGTATCAAATTCTTCTTTAAAGAAGAATATAGCCAGGTGGTGGCACAGGCTTTTGATCCTAGCACTGGGGAGGCAGAGGCAGGTGGATCTCTGTGAGTTTGAGGCCAGCCTGGTGTACAGAGTGAGTTCCAGGACAGCCAAAGCTGTTACACAGAAAAACCCTAGTCTCAAACAGGACAGGAGCCTACCACAGAGGGCCTCTGAAAGACTCTAACCCAGCAGGGTATCAAAGCAGATGCTGAGACTCATAGCCAAACTTTGGGCAGAGTGCAGGAAATCTTATGAAAGAAGGGAGAGATAGAAAGACCTGGAGGGGACAGGAGCTCCACAAGGAGAGCAACAGAACCAAAAAATCTGAGCCCAGGGGTCTTTTCTGAGACTGATACTCCAACCAAGGACCATGCATGGATATAACCTAGAACCCCTGCACAGATGTGGCCCATGGAAGCTCAGTATCCAGTGGGTGCCATAGTAAGGGGAACAGGGGCTGTCTCTGACATGAACTCAGTGGCTGGCTCTTTAATCACCTCCCCCTGAGGTGGGGGGGGGCAGCCTTACCAGGCAACAGAGGAAGACAAAGAAGCCAGTCCTGATGAGACCTGATAGGCTAGAGTCAGATGGAAGGGGAAGAGGAGCTCCCCTATCAGTGGACTTGGGGAGGGGCATGAAGGAGATGAGGAAGGGAGGGTGGGATTAGGAGGGGATGTGGGAAGAGGTACAGCTGGGATTCAGAGTGAATAAATTGTAATAAATAAATAAATAAATAAAAACCTGTCTTTAAAAAAAGAGGAAAGAAAGAAAGAAAGAAAATAATTAACAAATAAATAAGAATATAGCCAGGCACGATAGTGCAGGCCTTTACTGCCAGCACTCTGGAGGCAGAAGGAGGAAGATCTCTGTGAGTTCCATAGAACATCCTTTGAACACCTCTCTGTAAAACATTCTAGTATTAGGAAGTTTATCATGCTCTGTCAATGAATTCCCACCACAGGAATTATTTCTTGAGGATATAACTTAAGAGAACACACACACATGAGAGAGAGAGAGAAGAAGGCAGGAAGGGGGGAGAGTATACAGGTGTGCATTTTCGTGAGAGAGGTGGCTCTGCCTGAGACGTCCCCCAGGGCATTTTTCTTGCCCCTACTTCTTCCCAGCACCGTACAGACATCTGTGAAAGTGCATACAAACGTCAAGGCACATAAAGTCAATCCGCAAACATCCAACAACAGCAAAAAATAAAGCTTAGCCAGTAAATGTGAAGACAGTGCAGAAACAAAGAGTGTGTTTGAAATGACACTGAAATAAAAACAGACACAAAGTATGTAAATGGTAGTTAATGACAAGCAGAGGAAAAGACATATTACTTTTGAGAAAGGAAAAAGCCATAGGAAATGAGGAGACTGTTGCTCCGACTATTTTCTTTGTAAACATATAACATTTTGCAAGTAAAAGACAACCTCCAAGGCTGGAAAGATGGATCTGTGGATAAGGACACTGGCTGTTCTTCCAGGGGAACCAGGTTCAATTCCTAGGACCCACACAGAGACTCACAATTGTCTGTAACTCCAGCTCCACTCCGCATTCCGGCCTCCGAGGGCACCAGGCACACATGTGGTGCACAGACATACATACAAGCAAAGCACCCATATACATAAAGTAAAACAAAACAAAAACCCAGGGATAGAAGAGAGAGAGAGAGAGGTGGGGGGAGAGATAGAGACACACAGTTAAATAAAAAAATTTGAATCTTAAAAAAAAATCTATTTTTAAAAAGGTAACCTCTTTTTAGCTGCCAAATGCCCACAGTATAAATCTTGAGTTACTTATGCTAGCATTCAGTACTATCAAATCTGATACAACTCTGTGACTACACTAAAAGCCACTGCATTACTGCTTTTAAAAAATGACTTATAAGGCATGTCAATTATACCCCCAATAAAGCAGCAATGCACAAAGCAGCCAAGGCTGCATGTTGCACAGCTCACCTGGGCTGCTGGAGGTGAGCTGTTGGGAGGATAAGCTTCATGGTCACTCAGGACTTAGGGTGTGCAGGTTTCCTCTGGCTGTGTGTGTCGTTCCAACCCACGTCTTCAGCATTTGTCCAGGGGGGAACCAAAGGGGGTGAGGGTGTCGCATGAATTGTTCAGGCCTGGAAATGGTGCACATCCCTTTTTTATATTGGCCAGACCTGGCCGGCAAGCTTTCTATAGCTGTGACAACCACCAACCAAAACCACTCGGAGGAGGAAAGAGTTAATTTGGCTTACACTGCGCAACAACAGCCCTTCATTTAGGGAATTCAGGGCAGGAGCCCAAGCAGGAACAGAGGTGCTGGCTTCCTTCCCATGGATTGCTCAGCTTTCTTCCTTACAGAACCCAGGACCGCTTGCCTAGTGTCACCACCCAGAGTGGTTTGGCCCTCTCACTTCAACTGTCAATCAAGAAAATGTTCCATGCACAGGCCAATTTGATGGTGGCACTTCCTCAGTTGAGGGTCCCTCTTCCCACCTGACTCTAGTTTGTGTCAAGTTGACAAAAACTAACCACTGCATTCTGCCCATCTGCAACGGTCTGACAAAGTGTCACCATTACTTATTAGAAGGCAGGGTTACCTGGGTATGGGAAGGGCCATGAGTCTCTTCCACTATGACAACTACTGGGCTTTCAGCATACTTCAAGCACTGTAGTAAGAACTATACAAATGTTAGCTGAAGGGAATGCTGTTGCCAATTGTAATACCAGCAGTGAAAATAATACAGCAGTGGTCACCTATTTGCCGAGTTTCCAGCATTATTCCATGAGCAGTATGTACATGCTTCTGTCTTTATTGTCACTGATTGTGTGGGTACTGGTATTAATACATGTGACCCATAACAGAGCTAGGGCATCAAGTAGTGAGATAAATTGCCAATGTCTTGCTTAGATGTATAGTCACGATTTGAACCCAAGGAATCTGACCATAAAACCTGCAATGACTAGTTTTAATTTTTAACTTGGTAGCATCTAGAATCACCTAGCAGATGGGCCTCAGGGCATGCCATCGTGGGGGAGGGGAACTATTCTTGATTACATGAATTTTTGTGGGTAGGCCCATCAGTTGTGGGAAGGCCCGTTCCCTAGGCGTGGAATCCTGGCTGTAAAGTGGAGACAGGAAACACAGGGACCTGAGCACCAGTATGCAAGCATTCATCGCCCTCTGCTTTCTCATCATGAAGACTATGTGACCAGCTGCTTCAAGCTCCGGCTGCCTTGCTTTCCCTGCCATGACGCACTATAAACAACCCTGAATTGTAAGCAGAAACAAACCTCTTTTTTTCTTAGGTTGCTTTTGTG